TAATTAACAATGTTCCTGGATATCACGATGCGGATAATACATGAGTTCGGCGCCATTGTATACAGGTCCAAAGAAACTTTATTAGTCTGACCGTTTCTCCTCATCCCAGTCTTGGTAGGGATAAGGATAATAAGTGAAAATTAAGACTTTTTGTTAGAAAATAAATTCGTCTTTGCCTTTTATTCGAACCTTACTAAATGCAAAATCAAGATCAAATTAACTTTACGAGCCATCTACAATAGAAGATAGATTTCCAACATAAAGCCGATAAACATTCAGATATGCCTTTTAGATTTACTATAGACTATTAAAATATGGCTTTTGATTTTTTTAAAAAGAGATCGAGATAGATTGAGATCTATATTTGTATGCCAGTGACTATTACAGTAAATTAAGTCTTGGAACTTTTTGTTTTGGTTAAAATTCGTTGTATTATTTTTATGAAATGAAAGCTGACACAGTGCCGTTTTTTTAAATCGCGAGTAGGATTGGCGTTTTCCATATTGAATGACACACCAAAATAACAATAAGTCCCTTACAGTACTTCTAACTTGAAGGAATAATGGACATTCCAAATACATATGTTTCTCATTGTCAGCATTTTCAAGATGGCATAATATACAGGCACGGTCATTTGCTCGTCTTCTAACCATAGGGGTCATCCCAAAGATAAGTCTATAACTTATCACTCTAGCTTTTGGTGGGATATGTTTGCTGTGTAGGTTTATGAATGTGTCCTTGAATTCTGTCACCCCGAGAACTCTCCACCACTTAATCCTATTCACTAGACTTTCATGTAACAGCTTTTTAAGTGTTGTGTATGATTCTTTGGTTTTGTTGTGTATTAAATGTTCATTACTAGGTAAAATTCTGGAAATAGACCTGTAAAATGGATGAGTGACTATACCAAAATAGTGAGGAGTATCATTGTGTATTGGAAGAAGACTACTTAATCTTAAACCATAATAGTAAATTGTCAAGGGAAAGTTTGTTGGGTTTCTAACTACTTGACCTACAAATTTTAGCCTTACCGAATGTATTTTTGTCTTGACATCTTGTAAGTTTATCCCCCCTTCCTCTTTGTTTTGAATGAGTGTAGTGTGCTTAATGCTCCTAATAGTGTTTTTAAATATAAAGCTTCTAATTAACTTGTTCAGCTTGTTTATGAATTTAGGAGGTGGCTCTGTGATGTTAGCTAAATAGACAATCTTTGGAATGACCAAACTATTTATCAATACAGCTCTACCAAATATTGTAGAATCTGTGTGCTTATAAAGTTTTAGCAAGTTTGAGGCTTTGACAAAAATATTCTCCCACTGGTCTTTACAATAGAATAAAGGATTACAGGTATAGACAATACCACAAATCTTGATTTTATCTACAATTTTGAAAGCACAATTCTCTTTGAATTTCCATTTCCCTAGTCCCATTACAGAGGATTTATTTATATTTATTTTTGAACCACTAGCTTCTCCGTAGAGTGTAAATTTCTTTAGTATATTCTCAATATCTTGCTCTGAAGATGGAAAAAAAGTTGTATCATCCGCATAGGCTTTGACTCTGATGGTTGAGAAGGAGCGACCCGGTATATTAATCCCAATAATAGAGGGGTCAGATCTTATAGATTCCAAGAAGGGTTCCAAGCAAAGGATATACAAGAAGGGGGATAAGGGACAGCCCTGTCTGACAGACCTTTGTATGAGGATACTCCTACTGAGAGAATGGTTAATTATCAATCTACTTGTTGCATTTGTATAGACAAGCTTTATATATCTGATTAACAGGGAACTTATTTTACATTTCTCAAGAACATTGAACAAGAAGCTATGGCTTACTCGGTCAAAGGCTTTTTCTTGATCTACAGATAAAAGAGACACATTGAGGTTTTTATCCTTACTGTACATGATAAAATCCCGTAAAAAATGCGTCATGCCGTCTATGTTTCTGTCAGGGATACAACAGTACTGGTCATATCCTATAAGTTGGTTTATGAGAGGTTTCATTCTTCATTCTTATAGTCTGTATTGAGAAGTGAAATGGGCCTAAAGTGAAGTGTTATTTTCAGATTTCTTGGGTAAAAGCGTGATGTATGCTTCGTTAAAATTTGAGGGACATTGTCCCAGTCGAATGGCGTCGCTATATAGTCGCAGTAAGAGAGGACCCAGCGCGGGGAAGAAGGTTTTATAGAGTTCAAAGGTTAAGCCATCTGGACCGGGTGATTTATTGTTCTTAGTCGAGTCCAGGGCAGTCCTGAGTTCGTCTAGCGTAAATGCACTCCCTAAAAGATCATCTGTCTTGTCCAGCTGCTTGCAAAATTTTAGAAAATTATCTTGAGCATCAGTATATACTGGCTCTTCACTGTATATAGTAGTGAAGTGTTTTGTAAAAATATTCTTAATATCCTCATAATTATCTACTTTATTCCCCTCACTATCTATGATGTTGTTTATTATTTTACTTGATTGCACATTCTGTTCAAACGATAGGAATAGTTTACTAGGACCTTCATTACTTAAGTAATTTTTACACCTAATCTCAGCACCCCTATAAGTATACTTGTTTAATTCTTCAAGTTTTAAAAGAGTTTCTGTTTTAACGGTTTCATCATCCGTGTGTAATAATGTGGATTTGAGTTGTTCATATTCTTGCCTCCTACGTCCCTGAACTAATGTAGATATTAACTGGCTTTGCTGCTTGATAGAACTTTTTAGGAGTGGCCATGTCTGTGTTAAATCGAAATGTGGATCATGTATATCTTGTAAGTAAGAATTTAGATTAGCAGAAACTAACTCCACGAAAAGGGGAATTTCCAACAGCGAATTGTTAAATTTCCAGTGGGATGACTTTCTTTTAATTTCTTTGTTTTTTATGTCCAAAGTAACTAACACCGCTTTGTGGTCTGTGTATTCTAATGTTTCTTCCAAATGCGACACCCGACTTATATAGAAATGATTAGGAGCATACACTCTATCTAAGCGTGTCGAGACGGGGTATGACCTATGCACCATGGTAGTGTCACGACCCATAGGTTCTAGTGTCCTGTAAGCGTCAACTAAATGAAAATTCCTCTCTATCTCCTCTAAGAAATTAAGATTCGGAAAGGTTTTATGAGAGGCAGGGCCCACCGCCAAAGTAGTCTGTTTATCTAATGCAGAAGTTATGTAGTTGAAATCCCCCCTATGATTAGCGTATCCTCTCTATAATTGTTATTTAGTATATCGATCAAATTTTCATAAAAATCCTGTTTTTCCTTGCTCTTTGCTGGTGCGTAGATGTTTGCAAGTGTAAATGTTTGATTTCCTGATTCTACTCTAATGATCACTATTCTTCCCCTGGTGTCCTTAAATGCATGCACTACTTTAAACCTATCTGAGACTAGAAAAATAGCTACCCCTCTACACTCGTAACCTAAGCTAAACCAGCCCTATGTCGGATGTGTATTTGCGTGATTTATAATGTGTGTCTATATTTGTTTCTTGAATGAATATTAAGTCTGGCCTGTATTTTCTTGATAGGTGAACAATGTATTTTTGCTTATTCCTAAGACTACGTATATTTAATGATAAAATTGTAATGTCTGTTATGACTGGGTGTAAAAGTAAATTTAACCAGTTAGTGGTTGGTTATGGGTGTTCCACCCTCATCTATACCCAATGTGGGTGGAGTCTCAGGAATTTCCAACAATCTAACATCAAGACTCGTGTTCGGTGGGCTTATTCCAAATCCTCAAAATATGGTACAATACGTATTTGGTAGTATAATATGCATATTAGAAAATGCTGTTTAGAAGATTACTATTTGTTTTAAATTAGGTCTAACTTATAATGCATACTAAATAAAAAAAACTGCTTGCATAAGTGATTTTAAAGAACTAGATTTTTCGCTTTCGAAAAAAAAAAAGGAGCCGTTGCATCAGAACTTTTAATTGTCTAAAATATTGTGATATCGGATTTTCACTATCTTTTCTAGCATACGAGATCTAAACGGGACGGACGGACAGACATTTCACACAAAACTAATAGCGTCCTTTCCCCTTTCGGGGGCTGCTAAAAATAGGAACCTGTTTCAAAAAAAGGCTTTTATTCCATTTCAAATTCTCAAGTATAATTCTCAAAAATATTTATCAGGAATATTTGGGTTGCAAAGATTTTCAAAGTGTGGTGCATCTGAAGAGAACAAAATAACAGCACTCTACGAGGTCTTGTAAAAACGTTGATTTGTTCATATAGAAAGTACACAGGAGAAAGTCTTGTGAAGAAAGTTCTAGATGTAATGATGAAACCCATTTTACACCACAATTAAAAGAAGATGAACGTTTGGAAGATGTAGACCAATGTACACAGATGTATAGACGTGTACACATGTCAAAAATAATCCCTAGTCTATGTTTGTTTAGGCCAATGTAGGCTACTTTCAATGTATGTCATTATTTCATGTATAATACAATTTTATGTCATTGTATTATTTATAATCGATTCTTAGCCAGAGTAATGCTTCCCAGACTTAACGTGGCGCTCCGGTGGAAGGGTTGTTAGTGGAAACGAGTAGGCCACAGGGATTCATTACAGTCCCGTTGGGACAGAGTGCATTGCAATAGCGGGGATGAAAGAAAGCTCCAACAACCATGCCACTACCCAAACACCGTTTCTTATGGGGCTGTTTTTATGGCAGACAACTGCACGGCTGATGTGGTACAAAGAAAAAATATAGGTAAGTTTGCCCAGTATGCTCGATCTTCGGCCTCGCCAATAACCCTAGCGTCCTGGGATACGAGCCATCGGAAAAAGGTCTTCTTGGATCTTTCCCAGAAGGAACATTTGTCCATCCAGGCAGATGTAACCAAGTATCCGTCTGCCTCAAGTTCCCAACTCTTAAGATTACACTTAAGATTAATACAAGGAAGAAGAAGCCAATCTTCAGTTTTCAGAAATAGAATCAGTTTAAAAAACGTAAGAAAAAAAATACAAAAAAAAAATAAAGATAAAAATTAAAAACAAAACATTTGAAGAGAGAATAAATCAATGTTCTTTAGTGTAAGCACACATCATAAATATATGTTTAGTGTTTCATATTCACTCAAGCATAAAAAAAAATAAATCCGCAGTACAAAAATAGATCGGATGAGATGTTCTGAAATATGAGGTAAATACGACATTTAATTCAATCCTTCAATCAAACAAATTTGATTTTATGTTTACACAATTAATCAATCATTTCAATTCAAGCAAAATGTGAGTTGACAAAGACTTAGCAACGAACAGTCTGGGATATACAAGTGAAGAAGAAAAAACAAAACTTCTAAAGTAAGAATGAAGGCGATTTAGTATTTTCAATGTTCACTTTGGTGTTTTACTTTTCATGCTCACAAATATTGCATTTTCTGAACTTGTAGCACATCTCATGATAACACAATAGTCTCAGTATCAAATAACGTCTTGAGTAATTAGGTTACATTCAACACCGTATGAACAAGAATCAAAATTATTTTTTAAAATTTTAGCAAAACGAGGAAAGAAAGATAATCCTGCAAACAAAATTTGCCAAAGAAGAATTGGTTATAAAATTATTGCTTTCTGCTTACTAGCTCTACTATGAACTAGTACGCAATTTTCTTGCACTGAAATCTATGAACAGATATAATGTATTCCAACAATGTAGTCGATGTACCAGGCTGTTTTTTTTTTTAACCAAAAAAAGTCTTATGGAAATTTGATGGAAAAGTCTCAAGTACATTGATGTAATAATTAGTAATTTAAAAAAAATTCTACCACAGTAGCATCCAAACCCTACAGAATATAATTACAGACAAACAATAGGACCACGAAAACCACAACGACAAGACAACTTTAGTTGTACAGCTGTAAGATTGCACCAAGTAGCCAAGTAATGTTAAATCCAGTCAGGATAGCTACAATGCATAATATTTTACACTCCATGTTTTATTTTTTTGTTTCTATGACAACAGCAGTTCAAAGTACAGGCAACAAAACATGCCTACCAAAACAAAACAGTCGATTGTTGTATACAGTAAAACTGATCAAACTTAAAGTAGTAGAGCACTTACCAAGATAAAGCAAAACATATTCACAAGTCTATTACACAGGCATGATAAAATACTCGTTTTAACACAATATTTTGGATTTCATAATAGAGTAGGCATTTATGAGGTCTATGTCTTCAGGGCAGTTGAAAGCTCAGCAACTCCACTCAACAGGTATTGTTTGTTATGTGGCTACCACAATGACCAATAACACCTACTGTCCCAAATAGATGCCAGGTAACTATAACAGCAAGAGAAGGGGGCAGCATCGAATATCTCCATGACAAATGTATCCTCTACACTTGCTGGATGGACACCTTATCATAAACCAATTTCAAGAGACGATTTCAATTTTTAGAAGGACTAGAACTCTGAAACTGCACCGCTGGTAGCCCAGGGTTACAGGTCAGAGCCTCAAAACACATCTAATATAGTAGTTTCTTTATCACAAGAACATTCAATGATGAAACCATATACAGATGTTTAGCATACAGTATATATCAGTGGCGTAGCTATGGTGGGGGGGGGGGATATTTTGAAAATCCCCCCGGTCCCCCACTTGAGGGGGTCCCAAAATGAATGTTCGATTTTTTTAACATTAATTATTAATAATTACGTCATTATCTCATGCCATGATGTCGAATGTCAAAATGCATGGGTCACTAAACAGGTCAAGCCCCCCGGGCCCCCAAAATGATGGCAAATTCCTAAACTACGCCACTAGTATATATAACAACAAAAGCCCGTATCTAGAAAAATGTGTTATATAAATCCATACTACTATACATTCATATTACAATAAAGAGGGACAAAATATATGAAAACAGAGCGCCAACAAAAACATACAACTACACACTGCTGCTGGCGCTCTATTGTTGACCTGCACAGGAGTCTTAACCATTTTGACCTTGACCTCAGTGCTGAACCTTTGCCCGTCTGCTGAGAGCGTCCTGAGAATAACCTCACTGACATCTTTGAACGATTTTGAATCATCCAGCTCTGACCAGGTGGAATCTGACGTTGTCTTGTACTGGACTTTTAGTCCAGGGATCTCTACTTTGGTAAGCACCTTATCCCCAGATTGTCTGTTATAAAGTGAAGAACAATGCGCCATAAATATGCCAAAGAATACCACCAACAATGACCAACATGGACATACAGTACACACACAAGACACAAACTAATGTTTCTGTTTGAGGAATGATAAACCAATCTCAGTCAACATGAGCAGGCTCCACATGTCACAGCTGCACTGATTATATGCAACTCTGCCCATTATATCCGATTACATCAGCACACAGACTCGACTTTAAGAACTAGTGGTCTATGGGACAAATATTGCTCAGCTGATCATTCTATTTTTTTGGCTTAACGAGGAGAATGTACATAATTTACATTATCTACTAATGCGAAGTGCACGTTTGGTTTTGTTTTCAAAATAAAACGTGGGGCTTAAAAACGGATTTGATCTTGAGACTCTGGGTACGAAATTTGAACGCTGTACCACACAAAGTAGTTGGCACATGGATTCAAACAATAAGAGACCTGAGAGTCAAGGAATTTGCGGATCCTAAATACATTTCAGTAAGTGGCCGAGTAAACTGTTGAAGTTGGTATGTGAGGGTTTACAGGGATATAGAAGTACAAGGCGTCAAATAAAAGTTTACTGGCTACATCAACAATGTTATTAATATTATCAAGTAATATAATGACAATTAGAAAACGTGCGTATTTACTTTTAAAAAGCTGGAATAGTTTCAAACTCTAAACGAAACTATAATGTACACTCACCTGGCCCCTGGTGGAGGCACTCTGTAGGATATGTTGATTTTGTCCAAGATGGCCAAGTCAGACGAGCCTAAACTCCTGGCGAATCTGGACCAATCAGATTTCAAGTCCTTGTTGAAGGCTATATTTTCATGGCCTTCCCATGATGCCTTGTGCCAACCTCTCTCAGCCAGTGCCAAGAGACGTGGGTACACCATATAGTCAAACTGTTCCGGTGTCCGGACAATCTCGGACCAGAGTTGACCTTGAAGACCTGAAGTGAAGACATCATGAAATGTTTGAGTCCGCCTAAATATTCTTGACTGCGGTTAAAACGTTTCAGGTTAGCAATACGCTATAAGTAACTATAGATTCTACTGAGACAAAGAGAAATGGAGAAAAACGACCAACATATCTTATGTGGTGCCCCAACGGTTTAACAGTCTAAGGGATAGAGTCCCAAACAGTGAATCCCAAAACGTTTTCCTGAACGGAATACTTCGCACATTCGGAAAATTTACTGGAAAACACTTTGATTATTTACTTCTAAAAGGTTAATTCATGGGTGGCCTACTAGTTAATTATACCAGTAGTTTGTGAAACACCTTTTTAGGCGTAGCGGAAAACCAGGATTCCGAAAAAAACAGTTTGGGAAACACTGGTATTACAGGATGAAGCGCGCCAAGGGAAGTAAGAGTCAAAATAGGAACAGAAAACAATTTGCAATGAAAGAAATAAAAACACGGGGGAAAAAGTGTTAATACAAAAAAAAAAATCCTTTTTGCACAATCTTAAAATAAACACACAAAAAATTGCCAAAGTCACCAATTCAAAAAACAAAAAAAATAAAAGACATAAACCAGTGTTCTAGCTCAGGAGAGGCAAAGCAACTGGACTGATGATCAGTAGGCCTACCTGTCCAGTTTTTAAATTTTAAAAAGAGACATAATCAGTACAAAGTTGGAAATACAAGTTTTCAATAGTGGAGAGAGAGAATGCGTTGAAAGTTGTGGACAATGCTGGATTCAGTGTTTTTGTATAGATTTGAAACTTTCCTAGCTCTCTGTGAATTTGCAGAGGCACGAAAGTAAATAAATTGATAGATTTTGAGTCGAAATAAAAAAAAAACAACTACATGTATGCTTAGTTTTAATTTTTTTAGAAATCCTTGTAATCACAGAGAAAATTTCAATGAGTATCGATACAGTGGTTACGATTTTCCTGGAGCTGCCATCTCGATTATGTTTATTCTTCTATTCACCTTTTCCAAGACCTAGTCAACAATAATAGCCTAAATTTCCTTCAATGTCACAATGTACTGTTGTTGTACATAAGTCCAGGACACTACTAGCTGAGATAAAAAATGATACATTGATAAATGTAGACCAAAGACTACGCAAACTTAGAGCGTATTTCCTTTGTATTTATCCATTGCAAGCTCTAGGTAGTTTTGAGGACACAGATATTGAGGACATATATATATATATATGTTACAAGGAAGTTCTGTCTGATTTACGTAAGTGACGAGCTTGTCTGCGCCTGTCACTTGCAAATGAAGAAAAACAAGTTTTCTTACCAATTATGTTCTCTGGACGTTTCAAAGGGGGACAACCAGAATTATCATCATTGCAGACTTCTTTCATGGTGATTGGCTCCCCTGACCTCTTCATGTCGATGTTCTTGTAGTAGTCGTCCGGCATGAAGGAGAAAGTCTTGAAGGCGTCTGTGTACCTGGTGCCCCAGTAGAAGCCACTTTCCTCGGGGCTCGGCTCTTGGGGGTGGTCCAAGTACAAGCTGGTCACGGGGGCTAAAACTACCTTTGAGAGAGAAGTAAAAGGAAGGTCAATTAGATCAAAAGAATTATTATTATAGCTTTTATATAGCGCTACTTTCATGCTTATAGCATGCTCAGAGCGCTTTGGTCCAATCTCATTTGTGGACCGGTGGGGGGGAGGGGGTATCTAGGAGTTGGTTTTCCGTGCTGCCTTTAGGCGCTCAGTAAACGTAACAGTATAACAACTCTGCCCGAGTCGGGTGTCGAACCGCGAGCCCCTTCTAGGTAGCCAAGACAAGCTAAGTTCAAGCGCACTTAGCATCTCGACCACGCTTCCCACAGAATTCAGAATCTCCCTCAACAAAACACGTGATAATATAATAGAATTTCAGACTGCACAGATCACAGAGTTGAGTTTTAAATGAGTTGATTGTAGCAATTGTCTTCAAGAGAATACTATTTTTGAAATAAGCATAACTTTTTAAAAAAAATTCTGTAAGGGAAAGAACTGTATATTTACAGTCATACATTTTAATACTGTAATATTTATAAACATTTTCTATATCAAACAAAATTAATTAATAAATTTATTTGTTAATTTTATTGTTTCATGTTATGTTAGGGACAATGAATAATTGTGCAAAGTTTCAACTTGATTTGACAATGGGAGAAATAACGTGTACAGAATTAGCACTAGACAGAGTGAGTTGATATAAGCTTTGTCATTATAACTAAAGCAGACTTAAAACACTGTCGACATTTTGTGATAATACAACATTTAAATAAGGCGCTACATTCAAATCTCATGTTTTCTTGAGCTAAAATTTCTTTGGTTTTGAAAAAAAAAGCAAGTTATACGATTAGCTTCCAGTCACTCAATGAATCCCTACAACCATAAAGTACAACTGATAACTTACCTGATAACTTATATAATATAACAGATAACTTACCTTGTAGCCGGCGTTGGCCAGGTTGTAAGGTCGGGCAGCGGCGCCCCACTCCCAGACGTTTTGCCATGTCTGTGTGATCACTTCTTTATTCAGAAGTAATGATCTGAAATTGAAGGACCAATAGAGAACAGATAGGGGATGGGAAGGGAAAGTCAAAAATAAAGAAAGTCTCTTTTACAGGACAAACGTATTTTTGAAAGGAGTAATTAGCTAACCTCCCCTGAGGACACCAGCCCTCGGGACGCTACGTATCTTTCTTCATGACTCGGAAAAATCAAGACATTAGAGGAACCTTTATTAGTTCAAGAAGCAATTGGATATATCGATACATTTTAGATGCACGCACA